TAACCGAAATGCTTTTTTAAGGAATTACGTAGGTTTATCAACAACTATTGATCCTATTTTCAAGTTTACTTACAATTTGTAAATTATACCTTTGTTACAAGTTCAGTCTCATAATCGTTTTAATGGCCTACTTATCTACTTTTGCGATGTTGTCACACGTAAAACACGATCTTTTTAAGAAGCGCAAATGTCATGCAGACTATGCAACATGCCATCCCAAGGCCACAGGTGTTTCAAGTTGAAAAAGTACTTAAACTTAATTACAAACTTCAAAAAATGACATTGCCACAAAATTTTAAATATGAAATCGATGCATTTTATTATTCGTGTAATCTTTCATTCGAATAAAAAATAGTGTTCGATATGAGGGCGAAAAACGACATTTTTCGCCCTTGTATCGAAAACTACTATTCTGCTTTTTTAACTTTTAAAGATGCACATTAAACTATTCGTTAGTTTTTGTCAATATTTTCAATCCTTTGAGTTTTACAAACAAGCAAAAAATGTGTTTCAAGCGGCTGTTAAGATTTTGGGGCATGTGAGAAACTCGCCACTAGTAAACAATCGAGAAAATTATCAAAAGTTCATGCGAATTCGTAGAAAACCTGATTTTTCGGGTATTTTCCAAAACTGAGCTTGATATGAATTTTCAAGCCTGCACAGATTTGAGAAAAACTTGAAAAATTCACGACTTCCACTTGAAACGAGTTGAAAATGAATTTTTTCATTTGATAGGAAAAATTATCATCCAAAAATGCTGGAAATGTTACTTGAATAGGAATGTTACTTGCCTTTTAGGAGAAAATATCGAAAATTAATATTTCGATTTTTAAGGATAAAATTTGAAATTTTGGAATTCAATTGAACACAGTCGCACAAACAGAAGCTCAAAAAGTCGTCACACTCTAAATACAACCGCAGCCCTAAAAGTGCTCAAATTTCCTTTCATTTTCAATGATTTAATCACCGCTGCTGAAACAAATTTTTAGAGCTTTCAAAACTTTTGGACTAAAATCGAACTTTTCCTAAAACCGCAAATGATACTAAAAAAACACAGTTTCGAAGCCAGAACAAG